TTTTAGGTTCTTTTTCCATATAGATCGTTAAGAGTATTGAGTCGAGTTCCCTGTGCTATAAGTAGGTTCTTATTAATTATCTATTATATATATATATATATGTGTATATATATATATATATATATGTCTGTATATGTCAGCCCAGTCTCCCAACTTATCCCCCCCATCTGCCCCTTTTTAGTTCCTTTTTACTGTGGCACTGACAGAAGGGGAATATACTGTACCATTCTAATTCTTTACCATTGCATTTTGGCCTTGTTGGCAATTCTTTGGTGTTATTTTTAATTTTCTAGTTTTCAGGGCTGCTCTTGAACTTTCACATTGAACATTCACACACCTTTGAACACTCATCATGAAGGTTCGTCATGTTTTTGAACATCCAGTTTGGCCCTGAATGAAGTACAGTAGTTTCCCTTTATCTGTGGTTTTGCTTTCTGCAGTTTCAGTCACCCACAGTCAACCATGGTTGGAAAATATGAAATGAAAGACTCCAGAAACAAACAAGTCGTAAGTTTTAAATTGCATGCTCTTCTGAGAAGCATGATGAAATCTCATGCCCTCCCACCTCTTCCTGCCCAGGAGGTGAATCAGCCCTTTGTCCTGCTTATCCCACCCTTTAAACACTTCAGTAACCCTCTTGGTTACTCTCGGTTACTCTGGTAAGTCCTCTTACCAGATGGACGGTAGAGGTATTGCAGTGCTTGTATTAGAAGGAACCCTTATCTTACTTAAATAGTGGCCCCAAAGTGCGAGAGTAGTGATGCTGGGGCCTTGCCTGGTGGTCCAGTGGCTAAGACAACCGTGTTCCCAATGCAGGGGGCTGGGTTCAATCCCTGGTTTGAGAATCAGATCCCACATGCCACAACTAGAGATCTTGCATGCCACAACTAAGATCTGGTGTAGCCAAATCAACAAATAAAAATAAAATATTAAAAAAAAGAATAGGGCTGGAAATTCAGATATTCTCTTGTGCCTAATTTATTGATAGAAATTAAACTTTATCATAGGTATGTTCTTATAAAAAAAACATAGTAGTTTCCATGCAAAAATTAGTCAGTAGTCAATCAAAGAAAGAAATGGAAAATTTTATTTGAGCCAATCTGAGGATTTTAACCTGGGAGGTAGTCTCTGAGAGCTCTGAGAATTGTTCTGAAGTGGTAAAGAGGGAGGCCAGTACATATGTGATTTTGACAAAGGGGTATGTTCAGTCCAGCACTCATCTTAGTAGAAGGTCAGTGCTATTTTCAAGGAACAGATGGCTTACTTAGTTAATGGTTTTATTGCTTTACTAAGTATGGGAATATGCAAGAATCCAGGTTCATCATCCATTAATTACAGTATGGACCCATCAATTTATTATGTGTTCCAATAACATTTACTGACATGAGAAATACTCATAACATGATTTTAAAGTAAAAAAATATTTTGAAATTATATATACATTAGGATCTCATTTTTATGAGTGTGTGTGTGTTTGTGTGTGTGTGTGAGCATGTGAGAGGAAGGGGAGGGAATCTCTGGGTCATGGGATGTTTATTTTCTTCATCTCCCAAGTTTTCTAAAATGCATGCATGCATATTAAATAATCTATGACCAGAAAATGCTGTTTAAAGAATTTCCACTAGAAAATCATATTCCTCTGTTTTAAATTTCATACAACATTTTAATAAAAATTCAAGTCCTTTATCTTATCATAAAGTAACTTTCTCGCTGCTCTTTTTTCCATCACTATTTGTTTCCAGTGTTCCTTTCTTGCGCCATGCTACTGAAGGAGGTGGCTTGCACATCTCCATTCGGTGAGGAACAAATCCTACGCCACACCGCACCCAAATGCTTTGGCCTTTGTGTTCTGTGTTTCTGTCACTGCGCACAATGCGGAGCTTTGCTGACTTGGCTTCTTGCTGTTTCTGTCCTCGTGGTTGCCATTTCTCCATTCCAGCACCCTTTCCGTGTTATTTATTATTATTGATCTCATTCTTCTTTTCCTGTGAAATGTTTATCCTAAAACACATCTGCAAGCCGTCCAGAGCTCTGCTCGGATACAGTTAAACATTTCATTGAACATGAGCACCAACAGTATATTTCTTTAGTATCTGTAGGTTTCTCTTTGTGGCCTCTTTGAAAGCAGGTGCGACGCTCGGATGCAAATATGTCATCCCCAAAAGTCATGGACATAGGTCATAGTCTACCGGGACCAGCATCTGTCTTTAAAGGACCTTGTGTGGATTACTATGATTGTTGTCTTTTAAAGTAATTCAGAAGGCAGAAAGGAATGTCAAACACCCTGAATTTTCCCTTTTTAAACCATTTTGGAGATAACGCTTGATAAAATGTGCAGCCCTGTTTGAAATTCGTTTATTCTGCCTCCACACATTCTCAGAATTATGAACTCCACATGTGAGTAAAGGGGAATTTATTTTTCTATCATTTAATTAATGTCTTCTACCATCAATGTAATGTTTATTATTTCATTGAGTTTCCTGTTCCAGAATTTGATGGAGAGACAAATATCCACTTACCCTCTCCTTGTAGACTCCGATTTTATAGACTTGGATTACTCCCTTTCACTTCTCTTCTTTTCGGACAGAATAATTATAAGCTATTTTCCTTGCCCCTTGAAGTGTCCTTCCCCATACTTTTCTTAGCTCGAGAATTGCTTTGTTGAACTTGTGACCAAAACTTTCTGCATTTACTCCAAGCTAAACATCAGTACATGAGAACATCACCACATTTTCTGTTTTGTTTTTCTGTATTCTTTCTTCTGATACACTGAGCTGCAATTACATTTTGGATCTATATTTTCAGTCATAAGATTCAGTGGAGTCAGGACATAATCATTAGACCAATTAAGTCAGGCATAAAGACAAATATCACATGATATCACTTACATGTGTAATCTAAAATATGATCCAAATGAATTTGTTTACAAAACAGAAACAGACAAACAGACACACACACACACACACAAACGGCAAACTTTATGCTTACCAAAGAGGATAGCAACTGGGTAGGGGGAGATAAATTAGGAATTTGAGATTAGCATATATACACTATTATATATAAAATAGTACCGATCACTGCAAGGAGATCAAACCAGTTCATCCTAAAGGAAATTGTCTGAAATATTTATTGGAAGGACTGATGCTGAAACTTAAGCTCCTTTACTTTGGCCAACTGACGAGAAGAACTGATTCTTTAGAAAAGACCCTAACGCTGGGAAAGATTGAAGGCAGGAGGAGAAGGGGACGACAGAGGATGAGATGGTTGGATGGCATCACTGATTTGATGGGCATGAGTTTGAGCAAGCTCTGGGAGTTAGTGATGGACTGGGAAACCTGGTGTGCTGCAGTCCATGGGCTTGCAAAGAGTCAGACACGACTGAGTGACTAAACTGAACTAATATATAAAATAGATACACAACAAGGACCTAATGTATAGTACAGGGAACTATACTCAATATATTATAATAACCTACAATGGAAAAATATGGAAAAGAATATGTGTGTGTGTGTGTGTAACTGAATCACTTTGTTGTATACTTGAAACTAACACACCATTGTAAATTAACTATACTTCAATAAAAAATAAATTAATCTATGTGAATTAATCTAACATGTCGAATCAGCTTTGAGGGCAGCTCTGTTATTCCTGGTTTTTAAAAAGGATAGTAGAGAAGTAGTTAAAAAGGAAGATGGCTTCTCTAGGAGAAATGAAAAGGACTTGAGTTTGGTTATATTCCCTGTCTCCCTCCTTTCTTCCTTTCTCACTTGCCTGTACCTCTTAAGCTCCCACAGGGCTCTATTATAGACCTTATTCCTTTTACATCAGGGCACTTTACTGATGATGTGTATCTATTTCTATCTGCTCATTAGTCTGTAAGCAACTTGAAAGAAATCTAAATCTCATTTATATCTTATATGGCCACATTGGCTCCTATTGTGTCTCACATACAGTTGAGCCTCAGCGAATGTTAAGTTGTATTTTATGCTTTATGAAAAGTGACTTCACAACTTGGGCAATATGAAATATTATCATGTGGAATGTGTTAAATATTTGTGCTCTGAGAGAGAAGTTTCCATTTGAGAAGTAGAAGGGGTTTTAAGACAAAAGATGAAAACATTTTCTAGACGGTAAGGGTAATCACATGCTGTGATAGATTATCAGAGAAGGAGGTGGGATCTCCATCCCTGGAGATTTTAAATGACCGGGCAGAGAAAACATCCGTGAGAATGACTGAAGCATTAGACCTGTCCTGAGGCAAACAGATAGACAAAATGACGAATGGTCCTGTGATTCTTTGATTACTTGGCCTGGAGAAGGGAAGACAGAGGGAAGATGTTGAAATGACTTCAAATATGGAGAACAGTCCTTACTGCTTTCCATAGGAGAACAAATTGAAGGAGCTTAACCTAACATCTTAAAGATTTGGGTTATGTTTCATAGTTAAGGATTTTAAGACATATGTTGTGAAAATCCTGTGGAAACCTGCAAAATGAAAGATTGATTTGTGTGAGATATGGAGTTAGCTCTGATTCTGTTGCAGTAAAAATATTTTTGATGTTACTCAGAATGGAGAGAATTGTTCTATTATTTTCAGTGTATAGCATTCTTTTGGGGAAGGCAAATTGCTAAAAGTAGTATTTTCAAGCACGAAGTATCATCATTGCTTCATGGCTAGGAGGAGAGAAAAGAGATAATAGGTGGGAAATCTTGCCCTTCTAAATATCTGTGCAGGATTGTGTTGTTTTAGTCAGTACCAGAAGGTGAGGGGGAGGCTGGGATACAGCCCTGCTCCTCTGGGTCAGCCTTGTTCTGGTTACTGAACATTTTCCCAGTGAAAATCGAGAAGAATTAAGGGCTACAAAAATCTTGCCAATACAAGGGGAACCAGAATACCTATAAAAAAGAATCATTAGGAATGTGACTGTAATTTCAACATTCAGCCACATGATGTCACAATTGGATTTTGATTTTTACTGTGTATTTGTCTCAAATTATAGATGAAGGCGTTTTCAAAGCTGGAGAGGAGAGATCAGAAACGCGGGGGGCAGCTGAAGTCCAAGAAGATGAAGACACTCAAGTTGAGATTCCAGTGGACCAGGTAGCCACCATGCCTTTAAAAAGACGTGTGAACCAATGACTCCCATTTTCTTTCAAGTTTTGTGGGATGCCTGTTCTCATGCAGATATGTTAAACCTTCTCAGCTAGCTAGAATGACCTTAAAAATAAAACACCTTCAGTTTTTCCTAGTATTCCTACAAAAAGGAGTCATTAGGACAGTATTACAGAAAGTGGTATATCTTTAATAAACAGCTTAGAATGAGGTGGGTTGGAGTCAGGTATGAGATACAGAGGAAGAAGGTTTGATACAAGAGAGTATTGGCTTGGGGGTTTTATCTAGAAAAAAAAAGTCCTCCATTTAGAACAGCAGTTTGAAAGTGCTGTTATCTTCTCTCCTTTAGGGTCCTTGAAATGGCTATGGTTAGAATTTGTTTTTCGTGAAGGAATTGCTTACATAAATGCAGCTCAAATATTTGCTAAGTGTGTATTGATTTTCTTTTTCGGCCAGTGGAACGCTGTGCTATAGAAGTGTGTGTGTGTGTGTGTGTGTGTGTGTGTGTGTGTGTGTGTACAAATGTTCTTAGAGAAGAGACTGAGTAGTATTCATTCTGGCTAAATGACACAAGAAATAAAAGTCATTTAGGCTTTTTAATGCAATTCAGTCAGGTTCCTTACAATTCTAAGTGCAGGATTGGAATTTAAGCGAGGAGGGGGAATTCATAATCCCAGGCTCAAGGGAATACAAAAATCACCAGAAATTGCCACTTGTTCTCTGACTATTATGTGATGTTTCCTTTTCAAAGAGCAAATTTCACAATCCAGCAAATTCCATATATGATATTCTCAGTTGTATTTGTCTTAACAGTGCAGCAGTGAAGTCACTGCCTGATTATTCCACAGGCATTTTCTGTGAGCGTCGCCTTCCTGATGAGAAGCTTAGCGTGTTAAAAATCACACAGATTTCCAAAATCCAATTTATTACCCAGGATTAGCTCCAACTAACAATTTTTCATAAACTCCAGTTGTAGGTATTTTTTTTCCCTGAGGGAAACTGGGATTTTAAGTCTTCGGTGAAGCTATAATTAAATATTATATTTTAAGACAAAGAAGAGGAATCATCACGCATGTACAACACCTAAGAGGAGTGGGAACAAAGACTAATTTATATTCCAGAGTCAAAAATGCCAAATATCAAGGGAAGGTCATAGCTTTATTATGGAAGGGAGATCTCTCTGTTAATCACTTAAATTTTGTAATCTGTGATAGGTATTTCTTTACTTGTGAGTTGGATGATCACCGGAAAGAGGAGGGGATGTAGGGGAAATTGATCTCGTAATACTTGAACAGCCTTGGAAAGAGTCTGCAGAGCTTGATTTCTTATTTGACGCAAGAATGCTAGCCTATTAAAATACAAGTATGCAAGAGAGACTGATTAAACAGATTGCTAAAGGCTGGGTAATTTCAACAAATTGATGTCATTTTGAAGAAAAGAAGACCAGGCAACAAAAAGGTCAGAGTAGGTTTTGACCTATTTAGGTATTTCTTTGAACCTATTGGTAATGGAGCTAGGATTGTCTTGCTCAAGGGGTTGGCCCGAGATGCTTATGAAGTCAGGTCTTAGAGTCATTCTCTCTGTGGCCTGGTAATCTTTGCTCCATGGATCTTTGCTCTAAGCAGTTATGTCATAAATAATGTAAAAAACCAAGCAAGAGTGTGGAGACATTAGTGTAAAGCTGATTATAAGTAAGAACAGAAAAGAAAAAAGTGGAAGTATTAAGTCATTCCATTGTGTCTGACTCTTTGCAACCCCATGTACTATAGCCTGCCAGGCTCCTCTGTCCATAGGATTTTTCAGGCAAGAATACTGGAGTGAGTTGCTATTTGCTTCTCCAGGGGATCTTCCCTGCATAGGGACCGAATTCTGTTCTCCTGCATTGCAGGCAGATTCTTTACCATCTGAACCACCAGGGATACTGAGGAACTGGCCCTAATGGTGATGTTCGTAAAGCAATAACTACAATTTATTCAGTACTTACTGAGTGCCAGGCACTGTACTGGGCACTTTTAGCTCATAGAATTGTGATGACAACCCTGTAAGGTAGGTCTTATCACCCCCACTTTATATATGAAAAGTAAGCTCCTACAGGTAGAGTTACTTGCTCATCAGTTGTACTGTTAAGTAGAAGAATTGGGATTTGTATTCAGATCTAACTTCAAAGCACAGAAGTGATCTGGGGCGAGTATTAAATGCCCTCCTCCCTGCAAAAGGTCAATTATTAACCCAAGGAAGGGAAAAAATTCTTGCATAAGAAAGGAAATATCCATCATATACTCCTAAGCTCAGCTCTTTCCTTTTGGGGCCTCCCTGGTAACTCAGCTAGTAAAGAATCCAGCTGCAACTCAGGAGACCCTGGTTCGATTCCTGGGTCGGGAAGATCCCCTGGAGCAGGGATAGGCTGCCCACTCCAGTATTCTGGGGCTTCCCTGGCGGCTCAGATGGTAAGGAATCTCCCTGCAGTGAGGGAGACCTGGGTTTGATCCTGGGTTGCGAAGTTCCCTTGGAGGAGGGCATGGCAACCCACTCCAGTATTCTTGCCTGGACAGTCCCCATGGACAGAGGAGCCTGGCGGGCTACAGTCTATGAGGTCCTAAAGATTTGGACACGGCTAAGCACAGCACATCAGCATATTTCCTTTGGGGCCATACCTGCTTCATTTCTTTGGACTTGTTTCTCATCATCTCAGTGGTTCTTGTTGTAACTTTAGTCAAAGGACCATGAAGAAGGGTGTGTGTGTGTGTGTGTGTGTGTGTGTGTGTGTGTAAATATCAAGTGCAGATTGACCAAGTACTTTATACATATCTGAAAAACAGATCTCGTTTCAGAAGTAAGGAACAAGGCCTCTGCTGAGAGGCAGTTCACCACAGATCACTGGTGTTTTTGCATGTTTTGTGAGTAAAGGCACAGATTGCCTTTGTTCGGGACTGCTTTATCAAGGATATTTGCCTAGTGAACAGCCTCCAAACACAGAGAAGTGACTTCCTCTGAAACAGTCATTCTCAATTGAAGGTGATTTGCTTCCAAGGGGACAGTTGGCTGTTTCTGGGCACATTTTTGATCATTATAAATGAGCAAGCACTACTAACATCTAATGGGTAGGGTGCAAGGAATCTGCTCAGTATCTTGTAATTCCTCACAACTTGACTCTTCTCACGACAAAGAGGTATCCAGTCCAAAGTGTCAACAGTGCTGAGATTAAAAAATTCTGGTGTGGAGCAAAGGCTAGGTTTGTTTATGGGTCAGTATAGTAAAGATAGTATCTCCCTATGGTGCAAAGGTCATGCAGGTTTACTATGCATTATAAAAGATGTGGTGCCATTGAATTATATGCTGAAAAGTTAAAATGGTAAAATTTTATGTTATGTTTGTTTTATCACAAAAATATTTGGAAAAAATGATTTGAGTTCCTTAAGCTTGGGGTTCTTCTGCTGTAATGCAAGCCACCATGTGTATCACCCCCTTCACAATGCCCTGTGGGAACGGAGCCTTGGGCAGTAGGTACAAATGCTAATCCTCTGGCTATTGCTGTTGCTGTGAGCGGTAAAGTCCTTTGTCTCTGAGCCAGTAGACTCTTGTCTTCTGCCAGCATCTGTGAAAAGATGGCAGGCTAATGTGTCAGCTTGTTAAGTATGGTAAAATTTTAGATCTCGCTCAGCCTCTACATCCCATCTGGCTTTGTGTTTGTGTGGTTAAATGTGTGTAATGGGGCGTTGTGTACTAATTTCAGCTAAAATCATGTTTGAGCTCTGTCCCAAGGTCTAGATGCCTACTTTTTTTTTTAGAAACAAATTAACAATCCTGGATCTAATACTGCCAAACCTCTGGGAAACTGAGGAATATCACATTCTTTCATGGATTTCGGGAGGCCAAAACTGATTTCTTTTCTCAGGGAAGAGTTTAGGCCTCATAAGAATAAAATACTCTTTTAAAAAATAATTTTTTTTGCCTGCACATTGCAAATCAATCTGGCTTCCCATAAGCAGTGAAGCAAGTGCCTGATTATCCAATATCTGTGGTTGTGTACCCTAGCACTGATGACGTATGTGTCAATATGCTCCATTTATAAACTGATGCTTTTCCAAGCTAAGGAGGCAAGAAATGAAACTGTTCCATTATAGATAAGTAAACTGTCTCTAGTAGGTAAAGATCAGGCAGGAGAAGCCACCATCTCAAAGACACAGGCAAATAAATACCTATAAAATAGGCAAGAAGCAATTGTATTTTGGATTTTGTGCCATTTGAGAAAAGAGAGCAGAAAATGTAGATAGTAACTTCAGAGTGGTCTTGGATTGTTTTATAGCATTTTCCATCCGTTTGTAGTAGATTTTGAGTAAGATAATGGCAACCCACTCCAGTATTTGTGCCTAGAGAATCCCATGGACAGAGGAGCCTGGCAGGCTACAGTCCATGGGGTTGCAAGAGTCGGACATGACTTAGCAACTAAAACCACTAAAACCAGTAATAAAATGAGAATTGCAAGATTTTTCTTTTAATGGTAAATAGTTTCTTTAAATTACATTTAAGCCAGCATCATGAACACAGGAGCAGTGAAAGCTTTTTTGTTTTTTTAAATTGGAGTTTTGATATATACTATTTTGTTATTGATTGATTTAAAACTTAATAAATCCAGAATAACAAAGTTGCACATATACTCTTCTAAAAAATCATCCAATCTAACAAAAATTATGACAAAAATAGCAACCACTTGTCCCAGCCTTTCCCACCTGAATTCCTGCTCTGCAGATCTGATTTGAGCTATTAGCTATTTCTCATGGAATACATGGCTATGTTCCTAAACCACATGTTCTCTTCACTCTATTTTAATACCTCTGAGATCTTTGAGCCTTACAAGTGATGACATGTCACAGTTTAATTGGCATTTTAAAAATTCTAAGACATATAACATAATGGAGATCCTTTTAATTGGTGACATCTTAAATACCTTATTTTACTTTTCAAATTTAGACATTATTTATTAATTT